ATTCAATTGTCGTTTCAGGAGGTATGCTGAAGCACACAACAGGCAATATCGGAAGGAAGGCGCTTCTGCAACTACATGAGCCATAGTCTAAACTCCTAGTATCCCCCTTGATAACCCCTATAGTAGTCCCTATTTAATCCCCTATATAATCCCCTATATAACCCGCCTTTAAGGAATTTAGACTATAGCTCATTTTGAAAAGCACCCGGCCCTAGCTCTTCCTGGTCCAACGACTTACTGGAGAAGCGTCCTTGAAATCCTGCCGCTGCTGCATACCAGAGGTGTTTACCTGGAACCACAGCATTAACTGTTCCAGAATCACATTAACTGCTCCAGAATGGCGATTGCTTTCAGACGCCCCATACAGCAGAGTTTTCTGTGCCAGGTCTGGAGCACATCCAGTTGCAGCTGCATCTACGCTGTAGTACCCTAGACCCTAAGTAGTAGATTCCATTTCATTTTCCATTATCCCATATACCCCCTAGATAACCCCAATATTAATATTTCACTTCTTGGCTGAGGCTGTCGCAGCGGCCACACAACTCTTGGCATATAAGTTGGTGGAAGCCAATGTGTGCACCTGCAGCAGTCACATGGAACTCCTGTGATGCGCTTTCTAGTTTTGCGAGAATTGCGCGGAGAGCCAAGTTGCCTCATTGCAGAGCTTCCCATACTGCACACCTCAAATACATTGCATACTGGAATGCTGCTTGCCATGCTCAAAAAATCCCGCCCGCAAATGGGTGCCCGCACCGTACAAGCACGGTGCTGGGAAGTAGCGTTGAACCTGGTGCTCCAAAAACCCGGCATGCTCATGCAATTGGTGGTTCTGAAAAAATGGGGGGAGGGGGGGGGGCAGCGGTGTGTTTGAGAACTGTTGCTTTGGGCACACGCGCGCATGTCAAAAGTCATGTTAGCCCATGGCTACACGTCTGCATCCCTGCGAGCAACCGGCATCAACCATCTCTCCCTGCTGAGGAAGCAACGTGGGCCCCATCCTGTTGCTCGATCACAGAGCCGGTGATGATCTAGCGGCATTCAAGGCTTTTTCGACATATCCAGACAAGCAGGCACTGAACTCCGGCACAACGTCACGAACTCTTTTACGTCAACTGCACTTCCGAGATGAGCACAACGAGAAGACAAACCTTGAAGACAGACTGTGCACTTTTTCGCCTGATTTCTGTACTCGTCCTTGATGCAGCCGTTGCTCTGAGGGAAAAGTGTGGAAGAAGAAGCCTCACTTAGATGGGCTTTTTCAGTGATGTCGCACACCGCCAGACTCGGGTCCCAACTTCTCGCTCACTGAACAATGTTGCAATGCCAAGCCACCTCAGCAGCACAAAAAAAAAACTATACCTTTTCCTACCGCACCATGCGAGCACAACACGGGGGCCACGCGCAGTCGAACTAAGCAGGCAAAGTACGAAAATTTCGATGGCCCTCCTTCCAGGCCTGGCTTGGGTGCAGTGGCGTTTCGCCCTAAATCCTGAACCCTTAAACCCTCAGTAGTAGTTTCCATCTTCTTTTCCATTATCCCTATATAAACCTATACTTCCCTGTGTTACCCTATCTTAACAGGCAGGCGAGCTCGTGCAAGCTTTTGCAGGCCTCGCAGCGCTGCAGTAGCGTGAGCGCCACACCATGACCTCGCATATCGAATTTGGCAAAAGCCAGTTGATTTTTTCATTTGCAAAGAGGTCGCTTCAGCTATAGTCAGCATCCCCCCTAATACGCCCTAGTATACTCCCCTATATTAGCTCCCATAACCCCCTTAAAGGAGTTTAGACTAGAGCTCACTTAGGGCCAGGGCCTGGATGTTCAGAGCGTTGAATGCTGCGCCGAAAACACCGCAAATCAGCCCAATGACCACACAGAAAAGAATGGTCCTTGGCACAGGTCTCAAAAATAAACAAAGTTACCATAATCAGGAACCCTATTATTATCTACTACATATCCATATTATGGTTAATCTAGGTTCCTTAACAGCACAATCGAAGCACCAGCGTGAGATGCGTCAGGATCAGGCCAGTATGGCGTATCGCTGCACCCGGGACCCACTTGGACCTTGTCAAGTTGAATTCTCAGGGTATATAAGGTCATATAGGGGCATCTAGGGAGATGTATGCATGTGTATATATATATATATATGTGTGCGTATACATATATCTATATAGGGTAGACTAAGTTTCTCTAGGGTTATGTAAGGACATACAGGGATATATCGGGGTAGATATTTGCAAAGTCCAGGGTGGACGTGGCAAGGCCTTGTACTCAAGAACGGCTCCTGCACCGCCAGACAAGAGAATGACCTCAAGAAAGTCTGAGCTGCTGTGAAAGAACTTGAATCAAGTTACTATAACAAGGCAACACCCTTATTTTGATGTGCCCATATTATGGTAACTTGCTTCAAGTTCTTTAACAGCACCCCAGAAAATCAAGGACTTTGGGAGATTGGCTTCTACAGCACCAACCTGTTGTGTCTTGCACACTCTGGGGCACAGGCTTCAAGAGCGGCCAGGCCTATTGGGGCATATAGGGAGATAGATAGATAGATATATCATATTTTGGTTATATAAATATAGATGGTGATATATACATATACATACATATATATATATATTTGCATAGGTTTATGTAGGGTTATGTAGGTTTATGTAAGGTTATGTAAAGGATTCTACACGGGCATACAGGATGTACATCCGCTCCAGCCTCCGTAGAAGATGTTTGCCATCTGCTCTTTCTTGAAGTGGGACGCTGCCTCCTCAACGATAAAAAGAGTTCCAGCCTCGGTGTCACACAGGAGCGCCTTCCAGCTTCACTATATTATATAGGGAGTAATATAAGGGGTTACTATATCATATACGGGTTATATAGGGATAATGGAAAAGAAAATGGAAACTACATTGTTATAGGTAATCTTCAAACCAGCAAGGCCAAGCTTGAGTTCTTCTTTGCGCCGGGCAATCGGCGCCCGGAAGGCTGCAGCAATTCCACATGCTGCGCCGATGGACGTGTAGTCGCGGGTGAAGACATCGTCACCTACAGCTTTGCAAGCATAACATATGTGAGCTCTTGCTCAGGGGAGACATGGTAGTTTCCCTAAAATAGGGGGATCCCGATTTAGACCCCAAAATACTAGGTGTCCTTATTAGGGGGAACCCCAAAAAAGGTACCCCTAATTTTGGGAACCGGCCATATGGAGTTGAGGTCTGAGCCCACTGTCGCTGGTGGCGTGCCCAGCCATCGCCACAGAGTCGGATGCTGGGGCAGCCTACCAGGTCCCAGGCTTACAAGTTAAACGGTTTAACTCCCCAAACCCTATATAACCTTATAATACAATAGTTTCCATTTTCTTTTCCATTATCCCTATATAATCTTGCCAACCGTGCCAAGCCTGGAGCACAGAAAGCCAATGCTGGCGCCTGAAGAGATTGCTTAAAGCTTCTAGATTCTAGACAGGATGCTGCTTACTCTGGCAAGAAAACATGCCGAGGTCTTGGCCAATAAAGATCATGGGCCCCTCCGGACCCACCGCCAAACCAGAAGCCACCGCTAGAGACACTCCGAACCACTTCACCAGCAGATGCCTGCACACAAACAGTTCCCGGTCCGGTTGCAGAAGCATCTCTTCATGGCATAGGACTCCAGATGAGACATGGTCTTAACTCCTAGCAGCCCCCTTAAAGCCCCTATAGCCCCGGCATAACAGCCTTCTACGGAGTTTAGACGGTAGTTCAATTGATCTGGCAGCGCTCCTCAAAGTGACTCACCCTTCAAGTCGCAGCCATTGAGTAAGCCGATGAGCTGCGGGATGCCCGAGGACCTGACGCTACTTTCGCACGATTTCGAAAGTGTTGCGTGGTTTTACGGCGCCTGGACACCAGCTTTGCATGTCATCTTGGACACGATTTTGGCACTCTGACATGTCTTCGCACCCTGAGCAAGACTCCGAGCCAGGCGTGACTGTTGCACACACAGGCAATGAAAAGTTTTTGAATTAGACGTCCCTTATGGCCCCTTGACGTACGCCAATTTGTTCGAAGGGGCGGGACAGAAAGGTATGCATATCGACTAAAAATTGTCAATGCTCACATTTGCTGGACATTAGTCGGGACCTGTGCATCCGACGCCAGCACCTGCACGAAGACCGGTATTTCAAGCTGCTAAGTTTGTGAATCGGCTGGCTCGCCGGGCCTGCCTAGCCAAGAAAGCATCCCGAGCTGTTTGAGCACAGGCTTCTGCATCAGCGTCTTGACGCTGCGGAAGGCCATGGGATCGTCCCAAGAGCATGGGTAACGATGAGGTTGCTGCAACTCGAGGAGTCGGAACACAGCTGCCGGATGCCTTCTTCACTTCCTGTCCAACAGTCTCGCTGCTCATCCCAAGCAGGCTAGGGCGCGGTGCGCTGCTGCCCGAGATGGGCCGACTGCCTGCGTTGTCCCCCACGCTCCGAGTGGAAGTGATGGAGGAAGGGGTCTGTGTCCGAGGGCTCTCATCCTGTGGCTTGCCGAGGACGCAGTCGGCTACGCAGATTGAGGAAGGCGGCATGGAGCAACTCTGCAAATGAGAACGCTCTAGGCTAGGCAATTACCGCCCGGCTGTGCAAAATGGCAGGTTTCTTGGGCCGAAAACGTAACGAATGACATGTTGATGCGCGTTGCAAGCAGGATGTTGGGCAACTGCGGATTTTCCAAATATGATCTCGAGCGTCATACGCAACAACGCAAAATCTGCGGTCCGTGCCCAGCTGTCTTGGTTCCGGAGACGTCGCCACAGTACCTCGTTGGGAGTTTCAATCACGTTCACCTGAGTCGGCTAGATTCTGCGCAGGCATCACCGCCCACATTGACAAAGAGAACAGTTCTCACCACCCGAGAAAGCGTGGAGCACACGAAGAAACCGGCCACCAATGCAAGGATGGTCATGAGGAGGAATTCTGTCCAGCAATGCTGCGTTCAACATTAAATTATCAACTGCCTTTTCAACCCGAATAGGCAGACTATGCACATGCCATCTGGGAAAAGAAGCTGTTCCTATGATTTTACTTCGTACGCGTACTAGAATGACTAGTAGTAGTAGTAGCAGTAGGAGTAGCAGTAGGAGTCGTAGTAGTTGTTGTTGTCGTAGTAATTGTAGTAGTAGTAGTAGTAGTAGTAGTAGCAGCAGCAGCATTAACAGTAGCAGTAGCAAATTATGCGAACCTGCCTGCACACCAGGCCCAGAGCCACCCTCTTTCGACCTGCAGCGCAGCATAGCGCAGCCAGCACATATCTCAAGTGGTCTTCTCTTTAGCACTAATCGTAGTCTATTTACTACTAGTACTCCCAAAACACTTCTAATGATAGAAATACTTTTGATAGTATTACTGATAACCTTGAAAAAAAGACGGAAAGATGATAAGAATAATAATTATAGTAATCGGCGGGGCTCAGGAAGCACATCCCAGGCATGAGACTTCCATTCCTCGGTGAAAACTGAAACCTAAGAAAGTTCAGATCCCACTCCACTCCACGCTGGCTGCCTTTCACAGTAATACGAGGCACTTCCCCTTCAAATGCACGGTTTAAGGTTTAGGGTTTAGGGTTTAAGGTTTAGGGTCTAGGGCAGAACAAAACCCTTACAGTCTTTCACACCGGGTTCAAAGCGCTCCCGTAATCCTAAACTTCGTCACACACCGTACGCAATCCCAAAAAGCCATCCCTCCCTCCCCCAGAATTTCAATAGGGTCATTTCCCTAAATAGAAGGGGGGGGATCCCAATATAGGCCCCCAAAAACTATATAGTCCTTAGTACTATAGGGACCCCCCAACCCGTAATTTTGGGAACCTTCCATACCTATCTCCTGTGTTCCCTTCCTATAGCCATACACAAAGTTGCACCCCTTGACCCTCATCTTGCGCTTAGTTAGCATAGCTGGAGGCGGAGCAAAGACTATCTGGACACGAACCTCCTAGTAGTAGCTGTACTTGAAACACTGTGCTCCCCATCAAAAACATTCAAAATCCCAAACTTGCAGACTGGGGAGGGGTGTGGCCAAGAATGGCTGGGTCATTTGTCTACTTCTCTATAAACCAGGGCCGGCTAATCCCTCCATCATTCTCTGAACCCTAAACCCTAAGCCCTGAACCCTAGACCCCGAACCCCCAGCCCTAAACCCTAAGCCCTACACCCTAAATCCCAAACCCTACACCCTATAAGCCCTAAAATCCTAGACCCTAAACCCTAAGTTGAAAGAAGCCCAGGGCCAGGCAATGGCTTTGTTCACCAAATCCGTCCGGTGCTCTCCCAGGAACTCACTTACAAGGCCGACCTCGGCTCAATAATAGTCATATAATAGCAAGAAGCAAAATATGAATAGTCATAATAGTTGAAATAAATAGCAATAATAGTAAATGTAGAAATGATAGTCTTAATCATAAGAGTAGTACCAGTAATGATAGCAATACTAATCAGAATAGTCATCCCAGCAATAATAGCAAAATACGAATAAGAGTAATAATAACAGCAATAGTACTGATAGGAATACTAGTAATAGTGGTACTAATTTGTAAGCAAGGGAGATTCTGAGATTTCGTCCTAAACCCTAAACCCTGAACCTTAAACCCCTAAAACCCTAAACCCTGAACCCCTAAGCTCTAAACCCCTAAACCCTAAACACCTATAAACCTTAACTCTGCCTACAGCAAGGTTGGGATTCATGGCACGACGCGTACTACGCATGTGCCGGCCACAAAATACGGATGTTTCCCAAAGTTAGGGGTACCTTTTTGGCAGTCCATGGGTCCCTATAATAAGGATTCTGCGAATTCGGGGGCTATATTGGGCTCCCCTATTTAGGGGAACGACTATACACACTGTGCGAACACCACCTGAATAGATAGAATATGGCTTTGGGCATATTCTATAAGAGCCCATATACCCCATATTCTATCTACTTAAGGGGGACTATACCTCAAATAAAACCAGGGTTCAGCGTTTTTCAAAGCGCCTCTCTCTAAGGAGGCGTAGAGTCAGGCAGAATCCCCACAACGCCGACGTGTAAGAAACCATGGTGACTATGATGTGTTGATTGCGCAGCCTGAGTCAAAGCCACACCTGACTTCATGTCTAAATAAATTCTAACCTGAGAATCTCGATGGCAAATCCACATGAAACTCATAAGCCGTGGGGTTAAGTCAACCCAAGCCACGTGAAGTCAGCCCTCCCCGTGCTCACAAGGGATTAACTTGAAGTCAACCCGTACCGCGTACACGTGCTCTCCAAAAGCAGGTTTTGCAACAACCACAAACGGTGCGTAGCACATAATTTGTTGGCCAAGCGGACCACAAACCCCTTACTTCCTTGTGTTTCCTCATGCGAATCACCAGGGGCAATGACAATGAGGCGAGGAGCTATGAAACGGCATGTACACGCGCCTTCCAAAGCCGGTTTTGCAACAACGCAAATGGCGTGTGGCATGTGACTTGGTGGTCAAACGGACCGAAAACGCATCATGTCAAATTGCTTGTTCATGCGAATCACCCAGGGCACACCGCTTGTACCAGGCAGCCTTGCTGCATCTCGTGAAGTCATGCCAGGAGCTATGAAACGCCCCGCGCGCGCTCTTTCCAAAGCAGACTTTGCAACAATCGAAGATCCTGGAGCAAGTAACATGTCACACGACCTTCCGATGCAAGAGAATCGGTTCACATGGGGTAAATTAGGGTTGCCGAAAACATGCTTGCATGTGAGGCCTGTGGTGCGAATGAAGCGGGTCCCACGAGGCCGAGGGGAAGGGGATGTTGAGAAGGTGGCAGGCACCCTCGCACAGCCCACTTTCCAGCACGAAGTAACGCAGGTCGCTTCGTCTCAAAGACAAGGTCCGGATTTGTCGCAGTTCTATGCTGGACGTCATCTACGGAGAAAGCTAACTGCATGAATCCCAAACCTTGGCTGCAGCTGGAGCACTACCCAGGCTGCCCCTGCCGTCAGCAGCCCGATCCTGACACACGTCACATTGATGTTGTCTCTTCAACTCGCCCTTGCCTTGCATGAGCTGATCTGAGGGGACGGTAGGATAATCATGCCAACACAAAAAGCGGCGTCTGTGTTCCCTTTCGAATGCTATTTGGGTTTGTCTAATTTGGTGGAAGGGCTGACGTTCCAGCAAGTTTGTTTGACTCCTGGTCCTTACTCTTGCATGGAGCTGGTTCTAGCATGAGACGCTTTTGGCCCTGCAAAGAATCCTGGCCACTAAATCCTGGCTTTCCTGCAGCTGCCGGCTTCCACTGTTGCAGCCAAGCCGCACGATCGGAAGCGTCCGCTGCAAGAAGAGGAATCCCTTTGTCTCTTGCGTTACCTGACATGTCAGCGTCAGCTATGGTGACATCTAGGTTCACCTTGGGTCCAGACCCGATCTTTGTTGTAGCTTTTGTTGAAGATGGGCCTGGGAAAGGCAGGTCACCAAATCTAAATGAAGCCTCGGCTTGGTTGCTCTTAAGGAACTTACTTCAAGTTACTATAATGGGAAAACCTTATTACTTACCATCTATATAGATATATATATATGTGTGTGTGTATATACATCTACTATACATATATATATATACACCCATTATGGTATCTTAATATACTCCAGTCGGTGGCTGCCCAGGTGGTTGGCTCGAAGCTCAGGCTGCCAATCCCCAAAGCCTGGCTGCCAGTGGCAAGAGCACTGGGAGCTCTTCCTTTGAGTAATATAGGGATAATGGAAAAGAAAATGGATTCTACTATAATATAATAGGGTATATATATATATATTGGGGTTATATTGGGTTTATATTGAATAATGTTTTTTTGGTGGTTGAACCTATTAAGATAAT